TACATTTAGGTAGTACAAAAGTCATCTATATCTGTACCACATCATTGTGAAAAAGTTACTAGTTGTTATTTTTTCCACCTTCATCTCTGGGCGGTAAGCACTTTATACATATTGTCCTTTTTTAAGAACATGGGGCGGTAATTATCTAAACATTTTTGCCAAGGTTACTATTAATACAAGGTTAAAATTAATAGCTATCTTACAAATTATTACAGCACTGATTTTAAATAGTTCAAACTGTATACATAGATAATTACATGGCCATATATGCGCATACATACATGCTAAATCCCAAATTAAGAATTTAATCTTAAAATCTTTGAAAAAGATATTTCTTAATAACCAATCACAGCGCGAGAAGCTTAGCCCCACCTCCGCTGTCGGCATGCTTCGATAAGCTATCTTTCTCACACTTATGGCTACGCATAAGAAGACTTTTTTGTCGTATTCATTAATTTGTAAACTTTATTCACGTCTGGGAATTGTTTAAAACCGCTAAAAAAATTAATTATAACTAAACAAAATAAATTTATACTGCTAACAGATTAAAAATAGATAGAGTTAAACAATTAATATTTTCAAAACCGTAGAGCCATGCTGCAGCTATATTAGTATTTAGTAGTATAATTGTAACACGCATGGGTCGGCTTGACTGGGGAAGGACCACGCTCTCACAGAGTACCAGCGTAAAATGGCAGCTTGACGCTGCTGTGTTTCGGATGGTGAGTGTAGAGAACCGGAGACCCATTTTACTGGAGAAAAGGCATTCCATCTTAGTCCTCACGGGTGACGACGCATCTGCATTTTGATTCTTCATTGAGGATAAATGTCTATGGGTCACAGCAACCACTTACCATCAGGCTGACTGTGTGCAGGTTTGTTACCCTATCCTATAAAAAAATGCGGACTTGATAAATCTACATCATAAGCCACTAAAACCAAAAAATAAGTAGTCAAAAATAGCACTTAATCGATTTAAAAAAAAATTATAAGTTCAACAATCATTTATCTTTCTGACAATGTGGTTTTTATATCATTTATATGTTCAATATAATTGTTAGATGCGATTTTATGCGACAATCATTGGAATCTTGATTTTTAGGCGCTAGTAGAACATACCTACGCGTTTTGCGCTAGGCATGATTGTCGATGTAAAATAATGAGCTTCTTTAGACATTTTTTTTACTTATGCACTAATATATTTTAAAAATATTTTGATCCTGTATAAATGCAACCAGTATGTATGTCACTAAGATGGATTAATTTCATAGGAATTAATGATATACTTACAACTGGTAAGCAACCTGTCTTTGCCAATTTTATTAGGAATGCCACAAAGCACGGTCCTGAGCCACCTGCATCCATCAACTTCCTGCATGTCTTACCAGGTCGTCACTCCATCTAGTGGGGGCCGCCCTACACTACGTCTACCAGTACGAGGTTGCCACTCGAGAACCTCTCTTCCCCATCGGTTGTCAGTTCTGCGGCCCATTGCCACTTCAGCTTCTTACACTTAGCTTATGAAACATGCAGTATGGTAATGAAAGTGGGTGGCTCAGGCCCATAAGCTTTGTGATGGACTGTAATGATCTAGTCGCTTGAAAAAAAAATCACTTATTATTTTATATATTGAGTCAGAATCTGTTTCATTCTAGAGAGTGCTGAAAAACAAGAAGATTTGGAGATTGATGCTTTTGAAGATAGACATACGGATTTGGATGACGACTTGCCGCTAATTGCATTTGGTTCAAAGAGTAAAAAAGATGACGATGACATAGGTAAATGAATTTATGTTTAAAACCTCCATCAAAAAATAAAAAAAATCACCACAAATTGCTCTTGCATCATGTAGTTGGAGATGTACTATACATACAAATTTTGCTATTTATTACTTTAGTCACTCATCATGTAGTTGGAGATGTACTATACATACAAATTTTGCTATTTATTACTTTAGTCACATCTAGGTTCTGCAATAAAATCTTGCGCCTAGCGAAGCGAGCGGTTATCAGCTATACTAGAATTATTTTGTGCGTGCAATTTGGGTTATAAATTATCGGAGTATTTCGCTCTCTCTCCAATTAAGGGCTTTATGGGCGAGCATAGTGATGCGCAATATTGTTGTCGATAAGCGTTATCGATAGTGTATTTAGTTTTGTCATTATGTGGACGTGATAAAAATGAAAAAAAAATAGATAAAACAACGTATTTATTAACAAAATAATAATAATAATTCTAAATAAATTATTAATTAGTTATCTATCTATTAAAAAACTATAGGTAGAAATGTTTCGCATCTAACAACTTATATTAAAAATAAATATAAAGACCATAACTTATATTTAAAATTATATTTGTTGTTATCGATAATGGCGTTGCGCCCTCGCAACATGCTTACCTCTAGCCGGGCTGAGGCTGAGCTATGATTTATGACCCCAACTGCACGCACAAAATAATTTTACTATAGTGTTTAATATAATAGATTTTCGCAATGTAACGCCTGATTCTATTAATAATCTTTATGTCTTGTCTTACTACGCGGGCGAAGCCACCTCTGCCGTTTTTTAACATCCTTTCCGATTTCAGTCAACTTTTCGCTTTGGTTTTATTTTTAGGATGTGAGTACGAGGCACCCCTCGTACTCACATCCTAAAACTTTTTCCTAAAAGTTTTGGATCACCATCCAAAAGTAATTATTGATAGTGAATATTAAACACGGTGATTATTGTTAAAAAATAATTTATTTTTCCACATAGTCTCCTAACAAGTCAATTCATTTAGTCCGTTTTTGTTCTAAACCCAGAATTCCATTAGAAAAATAATCTTTATATTGACCCTCCAAAAAAGCCTCAACAGCGTCCATTACTTCGCTATCGTCTGCAAATTTAACAACCTTTCCCGGCGAACTTGACACTGAATTTTTTTGGCGTCGGGAGGAGACTCGGTTTCATACCGTTGATTGTTGTTTGGTTTCAGGATCGAAATGGTAGGTCCAGGTCTCGCCCACGGTCACGAAACCTTATAAAAAATCTGATCTGCTTGGAACCTTTCGAGATTCACCCTCGAAATGTCGACAAGTTTTTTCTTTTACTCGTCGGTTAACATTCTCGGTACCCAACGCGCAGAGATCCTTTTCATATGCAATTCGTTCGCAAGGGTTCTTTGAACACTGCCATATGAGATACCTGTGACCTCAACTATATGCCTGATGGTCACACTTCGATCTGCCAATACGATATCTTCGACTCCTTTCACTTTATCTTCAGTGAGGGATGTGGATGGGCATTCATCTTCCGTGGATGTTCAACCCAGCTTAACTTCCTTGGCCCAGCGTACAATTGTGAAAGGAGCAGAGTCCCTCAATATTTCACCAAGTCGCTGTGTACTTACCTATATCCAAGGCGACTGGTCCCTCAGGGTTCGGTCAAGGTGGCATGTGGTTGTAGGGTGCATGGGAAGTAAGGGTCAGTGATGTGTATCTGTGTGTGACTGATTATGGTAGACCTTATTAGACCGTTGCCGTCGGCAGCAGCTCGGACTTCAGCACCGCTCCAAACTGTGGTAACCTTCCGCGGCGCCGTCCACAGTCACTTTCTTCGTTCGTCACGATGACAGTCCATTAACTCTGTCGTACGATTAACTAACTTACAGAAGCCACAAACACGGAGTGTCCGGATCAAAGGTCACTACCGATTCGCGTGGCAACAGTTATTTCTAGAATATCAAAATGCCGCACTAGCTAATATTGTCGAATGCACTTATACAGATTCTGAGTTAGACACACAATAAGTCCCGGGTGAAGCTTTCAAGCAAGGAATGCGCGTTACGTATCCTAAACAGTATATTTCCTAGACGCGCGTGCAGTATTCCGCGTCCCCGCACAAAAAATGACAGCGTGCCGTCTATAGCACCGCTGGCAGACGACTGCTTTTTCGCTCGCGACCCGCGCGCTCCTGCCACGCTCGGCCGAACTTCAAACCGGTATCGCGCTGAGCCGAGTGACCTCTGGCTTCGATCCTTGACATTAGCGCTTGGCGCGAACATCATTACTTTTTGATCTGTTGTCCAATCTATACAAATAAATAAAATTGAAGTGTCTGTTGGTATTCTCAAAATTACAGTTTTTTTTACTAAATGCATATGAAAGTAAATACGGTACTTATAACTAAAATAAATTTTAACAATTTTTGTCTGTCTGTCTGTTTGTTCCGGCTAATTTCCGAAACGGCTGGACCGATTTTGACAGGACTTTCACTGACAGATAGCTGATTTCTCAAGGAGTTACTTTTATTTTAGAAAAAGAATTAAGGTTTCTCGCAAAAACATAAAAACCCTAACACGCGAGCGAAGTCGCGGGGAACAGGTAGTAGAGGAATAAATGTAGAATAGCGGTTTTTTAACTTTCATGCAAGTCTTTTTATTGTTGCTCTGTGTCTAGCTTCGATTGTTAAGTTTTTTACATTAGTGCCTGCCAGTATCTGGAGACCTTCCGTACAGGCCCTGACGTTTGGCACGTAAAAAATAAAATGTCCTAGCGCTTGAAGGGTTAGCAAAAATCAATATGTAACTGAGAGAAGTAGCCTAATGCTATACTATTCCTATACTATTCCTCCTCCTCATGAATCTGGCTATAATATAGAAAATCGGACTGATAGTTCCAAGGTTTGGCGTGTTTAAACAAACAAAAAACAAAAAACTCTTCCACTTTATTATATTAGTATAGATTACAAAGTTATAATGCAGTTGTTGTGTTATGTTCATGTTATTTTTATGTTTATGTCAAAAGGACAAATCATTTTTCAGAAACTTCTGAGAAGAAGATTAAATCAAATTCTACTGATTGTAACATAAGCGATGCTCGTGAAGAAGACCTAGATTTTGAAGGCCCTACTATTAAAGCAAACCCTAAAGTGAAAAAAGATAATCAACCAATTAATAAACAAGGAAAGCATCCTGCAAAGATTATGAAAACGAAAATTTTGAAACAAAAGAGTGTAAATATGCTTAAGAAAAAAACATTTGGGACATCAACTGAATACATTTTTGAATGTGATGGTTGTAGTAAAAAATTTTCAACAAAAGACATTCTCGCCAAACACATTTCATACAGTCATAAGACGCAAAAGAACTCAGACACCCCTGCAGTTCGGACACAAGTAGAACAAACTCCAGTACCACAACAAATAGAAATATTTAATTGTGATATTTGTGAATTTAAAACATCTCAAAAACGTTACATATTGGCACATCTTAAAGCGCACGTCGCTAAACAAATGTACTGTTGTAATAATTGTGAATATAAATGTATTAGTAAAAGTAATTTGAAAACCCATATGAAAATACACACCGGTGAAAAACCTTTTTCGTGTAATATCTGTGAATATAGATTTACTAGAAAATGTGATATGGAAACACATATGAAAATACACACCGGTGAAAAACCTTTTTCGTGTAATATCTGTGAATATAGATGTATTAGGAAAAGTCATTTGCAAATACATTTAAAAACACACACCGGAGAAAAACCTTTTTCGTGTAATATCTGTGAATATAGATGTATTACAAAAAGTTGTTTGCAAATACATATGAAAACACACACCGGTGAAAAACCTTTTTCGTGTAATATCTGTGAATATAGATGTATTACAAAAAGTTGTTTGCAAATACATATGAAAACACACACCGGTGAAAAACCTTTTTCGTGTAATTTCTGTGAATATAGATGTATTGCAAAGAGTAGTTTGAAAACACATGTGAAAAGACACACCGGTGAAAAGCCTTTCTCGTGTAATATCTGTGAATATAGATGTATTAAAAAGAGTAGTTTGCAAGAACATATGAAAATACACACCGGTGAAAAACCTTTTTCGTGTAATATATGTGAATATAGATGTATTACAAAAAGTCATTTGCAAACCCATATGAAAATACACACTGGTGAAAAACCTTTTTCGTGTAATATCTGTGAATATAGATGTATTACAAAAAGGAATTTGCAAACCCATATGAAAATACACACCGGTGAAAAACCTTTCTCGTGTAATATCTGTGAATATAGATGTATTAGAAAATGTGATATGGAAACACATATGAAAATACACACCGGTGAAAAACCTTTTTCCTGTAATATCTGTGAATATAGATGTATTAGAAAATGTCATTTGCAAATACATTTAAAAACACACACCGGTGAAAAAGCTTTTTCGTGTAATATCTGTGAATATAGATGTACCACAAAAAGTAATTTCCAAAGACATATGAAAATACACACTGGTGAAAAACCTTTTTCGTGTAATATCTGTGAATATAGTTTTATTACAAAAAGTCGTTTGCAATCACATATTATGAAAATACATACTGGAGAAAGACCTTTTTCGTGTAATATCTGTGAATATAGATGTATTACAAAAAGAAATTTGCAAACCCATATGAAAATACACACCGGTGAAAAACCTTTTTCGTGTAATATCTGTGAACATAGATTTATTAGAAAATATGATTTGCAAAGCCATATGAAAATACACACCGGTGAAAAACCTTTTTCGTGTAATATCTGTGAACATAGATTTATTAGAAAAGATAATTTGCAAAGACATTTAAAAACACACACTGGCGATAAACCTTTTTCGTGAGCTATCTGGTGAAATATGTACAATATTGTGTAAACTTGTTTTATATAAATATGTGTGTACCAGATAAAAATCCATTTTTTGTGAATTTGTGATGTAATTATATAACGAGTAAAAAAACCTTTCCGTGCCTTAAGTGCAAATTGAAACTGCATTTGTTCTGAAGATGTTAATTAAATAACTTATTTGAAATTTTGTACAACCGAATTCAATATAAATTATTAAGAATAATTCAAAAACTATTGGTCAGACCTTGATCAAATTTGTATGAGACCAGACATGTGAAGCACCAGCTTTCAAATAAAAAAATAATTATCGAAATCGGTTCATACAGAAAAAAGTTATGAGGTAATAAACATAAAAAAAGAACATAGTCGAATTGAGTACCTCCTACTTTTTGAAGTCGGTAGAAAGCCAAAAATAATGGAACCTTAAAATAAATACCGTATGTGTGAATGGAGGTTAGTGAAACAGACTAGACCCCTCATGTTTTTTTTTTCATTTAAATGATAGCTTACGTTTTTCTTTTTTCACTTCGACTTACTTACTTATCTTCACGCACAATCCCTAACGGGGTAGCTAGAGAGAACAGATCGCCAAGTGTCACGATCCTTACAAACCTCTTTCGCTTCTTTCAGATTCATTATCTTCTTCATGCATGCACGTCTAGGTATCCGAGTACTCTTGACCCTACCCTCTTCGAGCAATTTGCTCACATGGTCTTCGAAAGTTAGTCTCGGTCTACCTCGACACCTTTTAATATTTACTTTCGCGCTATATATTTTCTTCACCATTCGGTCTTCACTCATTCGCTCAACGTGCCCAAACCACCGAAGCACGCCCTTATCAATTTTCATCTTTCAAACCTGCCATATTGCAAATCTCTTCGTTTCGCTTTCGGTCGGCCATGGTAACGCCGCACATTTTACGAAGAGATCGCATCTCCACTGCATTCAATTTACTTTTATGCTTCTTCTGGCATACCCAGGTTTTGCTGCCATATAACAAAGTCGGTACCAACACTGCGTTATGTATTGCAAGGCGTGCACTCTTCGCTACGCCTTGCCTTTTGACTAACGCAGTCAGGGCACCATTGACTTTGTTCCCGGCAGCGACACGCCTGTCCACATCTAAATCACAACTTCCATCCCGGCTAAAAGCACTCCCCAAGTATACAATTTCATTTACCTGTTCTAGACATTCCTGATTTACCCATATTTCACACATCGTTCTCTCTTCGTCCCTTTCAAATACCAGAACCTTAGTTTTATTAGCATTCAAACGGAGACCTTTAATTTCACATTCCTCTTTCATACACGTGACTAATGCCTGCAGTTCTGCCTCTGATGGTGCAATAAGCACTGCGTCATCAGCATACAGCAGACAATTTACTTTTATGTCACCCAATTTCACACCCAAACAGCTATCTTTCAGCTTCTGTAAACAGCTGTCGAGATACAGTATGAACAGCCAGGAAGACATGACACAACCCTGCTTTACGCCCGTTTGGACGGTAAACATGGGTGACAGGTCATGCCCTACCCGCACACAGGCTTTACAGTCACAGTAAAGAGACTGCACAGCCTTTAGCAATCGACTATCCACACCATACCCCGGCAACAGTTCCCACATTTTCTTCCTTACAACCTCATCAAATGCTTTCTCAAGATCCACAAAAGCACAGAAAATCTTCTGGTTAGCAGCCAGAAGCTTCTCTGTGATCATGCGGAGAGAAAACATTTGATCCGTGCATCCTCTTCCAGGTCTAAATCCGCATTGTGCCTCCCATAGAAATCTTTCCGATTTCCCTTGCATCCTACGTGTAAAAACTTCGAATAAACTTTACTTGCTAAACTGGTCAAGCTGATCGCCCGATAGCACCCGCAGTCAAAATGTGAACCTTTACCTTTATATAAAGGCACAATGACTGCGGATCGCCAATCATCCGGGACATCCCCCGTCCGCCAGCACAAATTGCACAGCAGATGGAAGCTGTCCCAGACGCGAGGCCCACCATACTTGACCATTTCAGCAGTAACTCTGTCTAGTCCCGCAGCCTTACCACATTTCAAACTTCGAATCGCACGTTCAATCTCTCATACTGATGACCTCAGTGTCATCGAGGTCCGGGTCTGGCGTACCAGTCACGGCGTCATCCCCGGATCCCTCACTAAGATCATCACACGCATACATTTCTCTATAAAATTCGCTCCATCGCTGCATGACGTCCGATTTTTCTGAGAGGACGTCATTAGTTCTCGAAAGCACTTTGTTCATTCTTAAGGCCGTCGCACCACTTCGGGTCCTTCCAACCTCTTTCCAGAAGAGTTTGGAGTTCTCCTTAAAGTTGCGCGACAACCTTTCGTCCGCTTCCATTCTACACCTTTCACGCACTTCCTCAATCAATGCTTTCGTGTGAACTTTCTGCAGCCTATATCTTTCTTTCATCTTCTCTCTCATATCCTTATCATTACTAGAGGCCAAGTAGTCTAACCATGCTTTCTTCTTCTTCTTTACAGCTTCTTTCACTTCATCATTCCACCATGCATCTCTTCTTTTACTACTGCCTCTTTTTATTGTTCCACACACTTCTTCCGCTGCACTTACCATTCCATCCCTAAGGTTCTGCCATGTTCTTTCTACACATTCTTTTCTGCCATCGATGGTGTCAAGCTTTTCGGCTACCCTCGCATGATATTTGTCCCTAGTATCCGCTTCCTGAAGCTTCCAGCTTCGGATGCGACAGACCGACTGTGGTTCTGTTACTGCCGTCCGGTAGCGCCAACCCGCGAACAGATCCCTAAATCTAGTAATCACTAGATAGTGATCCGTTCCCAGGTCAGCATCTCTGAACACTCGCGTATCCATCACCTGTTTTCGCAGTCGGTCATCCACCAGGAACAAATCGATCATACTTCTCTCATTCTTTCGTTCTCTAGTATACATATGGATTTTCTTGTGAATAAACATAGTGTTTGTCACAAGAAGACCCTTTTCCTTGCACACCGCCAGTATAAGCTTGCCAGCATCATTAACCCTTTTATCGCCAAACTTTCCAAGTACCGAGTCGTACCCTGGTCGAGCGGTACCAACCCATCCATTCAAATCCCCACATACAACTTCTTTCGTTTCCCCTAGCCAAATCTAGAACTTCTCTTACATTCTCCCAAAACTCCTCCAGCTCAGCCCTGGACGACGAAGCTACCGGCGCATAAACAGCCAAAAGGAATAACTTCGTCAGTCCCAATTTAAAGCGAACCCAGAGAAGTCTTGAGTTCACAACCTTATATTCAGTCATAACATCGACCAACCGAGAAGACAGCAGCACCCCCACTCCCTGGCAGGCGTTCTCGCTCTCCGGGACTCCGGACCATAGAGCTAACGCCCCGCCAGGGAGCTCTTCAGTACCACTGCCCTTCCGTTTGGTCTCCGACATACACACGACATCTAATTCTCTTTCTTTCATTATTTCGATCAACTCATTCGTCTTATCTCTCATGCCTCCTCTAACATTCCACGTGCCAACTCTGCACTCTGTCCTCCACCTTCCGCCGTGTCGGGCTGTGCGTGACGGGTGGCGGTACCCATGGCCGCTTTGCGCGCTGCATTCCACACCAACGGGGACGAGCTGGTGTGCGTCGCCTTGGGGGGACGCCCTAACCCTCGTTGGCATGGGTGTGCAGCTGAGTAGAATTGCAGCCCTGAAAAGGGCTGGCAGGGGTCGCGACGAGCACGCTTCTACAATGACCCCCAAAATTTTCTTTTTTATGCTTTTTTTCACTTGTTTAGACCTAATTAAGTTTAGTTGATATCATACATCAGTTACAAACGGAAGGATACTTGTTTGTAGTGGGTAACTACGTGTTTTTCTACGTATTTTCTTTGAAATTAAGAGTAATTGACTTTTTGTATGCAGAGATTACAAACCTTTTGTACTATATTTGTTTTATAAAAAAATCATACGTACGTACAGCTAAATCACACTGGAAAACTGGTTTTTACTAAATTAAATTTGCACCTAATAATAACATTTGTAAAAATATCAAACAATCAAGAACCTTTTTTTGTAAAAAATTAGGTTTATGATTCATTAATATTTACAAATATTATTTTATTTATTTATACTCTTTATTGCACACAAAACACTACACAACACAGCAAATTTAAATTTATCAACGAATGTACAATTAGGTGGCCTTATCGCTAAACAGCGATCTCTTCCAGGCAAACCTTGGTGAAGGAGATAATTTTCATTTAAATATATAGAAGTGAGCATAAATAGTAGATAAACAAGCATATATTAAAAGTACATGGTATATACAATATATAAGAAAATGTAATAATCAAATAAATAATATTATATATACATATACACATAAACAAATATATACATACACACATACATATACACATATACCTACATATACATAAATAGAATACATACACTTTTATAAATATTTCTGTAATACATTATAACTATATATCATATACATAAACCATATCAAGAAAAGTAGATATGACAATAAAATATATTAAGTAGAACACATATTTAAATAATAATCTTTAACCACATTTTTGAAAGACTCAATGCTTTGGGCTTTTTAAATTGTTAAAGGAAGCGAGTTCCATAATTTGATTGCTTTGACACAAAAGGAGGAATGAAAATATTTTGAGATGTGAGCAGGCATACGCAGCAAAAGTTTATCAGCTATTCTGGAATGATCTTTATAAAATAATATTTATTGGGCGCAAATAAAGATCAAAAAATAAAAAAAATATTATAATAATATAATATATAATATAAAATAATAATAATATTAAATATTATTTAATGTTATACAAATGTAAAAGTAAAGTTGATGTGAAAACGTCTAATTAGTAGGAATAGCAAAACAAGTGTTTTCAAAAGGAAACAAACGCCGGCGCTATACGGCGGCGGATTGACAAAAGACTTTATTAGCGAACTTTTTTATGCATGACCGGTTTCAAACTGTTTCAAGCAA